ACAAGATGACAAAAGTACGGTCCAGAATAGTGGAGTATCTATTGAGGCAACATCTATGCACTTTTCTAGTGCAAAGGACAAAACCCCCATCATGGCATCAATTAGTTACTTTGGAGTCATTGAGGAGATTTGGGAGGTCGACTATACTAAATTCAAAGTGCCTTTATTTAAATGTAAATGGGTTGATAGCAATACTGGTGTCCAAAGAGACCAAATGGGATTTACTTTGATTGATATAAACAAGATTGGTCATAAGGAAGAACCCTTCATAATGGCATACCAGGCAAAACAAGTGTTTTATGTCACTGATCCATCAAATGGTAGGTGGTCAGTTGTCCTCAAAGGAAAAATGATTGATGTCACAAATGAGAATGGAGAAGAATTAGATGATTTTATTAACATTCAAAATTCACCACGGTTGCCTATTGCTATATCCCAATTGGAAGAGGACTTTGTTCATGCTACTCGCACTGACCATGATGAAGGCATATGGGAAAATATTAATACAATCTAAGTTATGTTTCTATTTATTTATTTATTTATTTAACATGTAATTGAGGAGACTTTGCATGTGTATTGATATAATTGTATGTTTTTTTCATTACAGGTAAATGGCATGTCCTCCACCATCTCCTGCACCATCTCCACCATCTCCACCACCATCTCCTCAGGCATATGGAAAGACATTTTCCAGTAAGAGGAGTCGACAATCTACACAGTTGAAAGGCTTGACCGTTAGACACATATCTGGGCAGAAGTTATCTGTGTCTGTTGATCCTAGGACTGGCCAGGTGTCAGGTCCCTTTAGTACCCAATTTAGTAGCTACTTGGGTACACTAGCTAGAGAGAAGGTATTTATTCTATTTGAAAGTGAATTTCATTTCAAATATATTGCTGATACTTATGTTGTTTATGTTTTGTAGATATCTATTCTCCATCCTAGTTGGGATCATGTGGAGGAAACTGTGAAGAACTTGTTATGGCAAGATCTTCTTGTAAGTATGTGTATTTAGTTGTTTATACATTATTATCAATTGGTTAACTAAAACTTATTTGCTATTGTAGGAACACTTTGATATAGTCAATTCTGAGGATGTGAGGAGGAAGATAATGATAGCCATAGCAAAAATGTGGAGACAGTTCAAGTCCACATTGACCACTAAATGGGTGTATGCTGAGGACAAAGTTAGGAAGGGATTAACCCCTTGCCAAAGATATGGCATAGATGAGGACACTTGGAAGAAGTTTGTACATAGTAGGACTGGTTCAGAGTGGGAGGTAATGTTAATTGCTTAATTGACTTGAACATTTTATAATGAGTTGTGTATCTAATATTGTGTTCAATTATGTTGCAGGAAAGAAGACAAAAAGCAAAAGACATTCAGAGCCAGAATGTCGCCCCCCACCTTCTGTCTCGTGGTGGGTACGACCTATTGACAAAGAAGATGATGGAGGAGAAGATGAGACTTCGACAGTCGGAGTTAGCCTCTTCTGGTTTAAGCGAAGAGCAGATTCCTCCACCATCTCCTCCAAAACGTCACCAGAAGTGGAAGAAGGCTCGTACAAAGCCTTCTGGTGACATGACATCGCAGAAGCCCGAGAAATTGCTGCTCGGATTGTAAGTAAAAGAAGTTAATTTACTTTGAATTAGTTATATGTAACATGTTCATTAATAAAATTAACTTTTATAAAGTAGGATGCCTTGGAGGAGCAGTGTACACAGGGAACTTTCATCCCTCTCGGTCGTCAGGATATCTTGACCACTTGCTATTGGACGACCAGTAACATCCAGGTCGTGTTCGAGCTGTTGGCCAAGGTGTGGGTGTCCGACAGTATTTTAGACCACCATCACAGGATATCCGCACCTCCACATCCCCGAGCCAAGAAGATATTGCTGCCTTGGAGATGGCTCTCATAGAGAAATTGACACCGGCCATCGGGGCAAAATTGGAGGAAGAGTTGACTCCCGCCATCGGCGCACGACTTGAGGAGACCATCACTGCACGTGTGCAGGAGCAGCTTCTGCGTATGACCTCCATGGGTACTTCATTTGCTGATGCTCGTCCTCCATCGGGTGCATTTTCAACCACAAATTGGTACTTGACTTGTGTTTCTAAAATCTTAGTCCTTATTGGAATTTACTCGTATTTGTAGGTCCAAGAGTTAGCACAAAGGGCAGTTGTGCTGAAGCCACTATCGAGGTCACACCCGAGGTGGCATCTATTCATCCCGAATCCACAAAGGATGATCGATATGGCTTGTGGGTTGAGGTAGATGAAGGTCTAAGACTAGTGGCCCATGGATCAGTTCATGAAGGGGCTTCAACCATCCACAATGTGCCTTTGGATCCTAACTTGGTCAAAGTAGTGGTTGAAAAGGTGGTTGACGCCGAGGCTAGTGTCCCTATCCCCACCGAAGAGGTGCGAGAGAGTGGGCCAAGCCCTTCGGACCTTCATTACTTGGCCCCGACATTTAGTTAGGTCAATCATGGCAAAGGTATGTATATGTATGGTTATAATACATCTAACACATAAATAAATTGATTTATTGTTTATGATTATATTTTATAAAATATGTAGGATGTTCGACGGCCAAAAGACTTGGGTAAAGCTATTACCACTCCTTCCGGATCTAAGGAGAAGACACCAGTTGTGGAGACTTCTCCAAATCCAATTTTTGATCTCTTGTCTCTTTCCCCACAATTGTATATGCAGTCATTCCAAGTTCCATGGGATTGTACATTATTTGGGATGGCTTCTAGCAATATCCCCCTATACATTTCCCACACTGATGCCCTGGAGATTGGGATGGGCAATCAATGTCTAAATATAGTCTGTTTTACAATTTTGGACATTGTAAGTTCATATCTTTCATGACTCTTTTCATTTTAGTAAATATATAAGCTATAAGTTCACTTAAATTGGCATATTTTAGGATGATGCACGAAATGATAGTGGAGCAGGGCATTGGTCATGTGTATGGATTCTTCGAGCCTCAATCCATACAAAAGTCCGGGAATAAGCGTGATCAAATTCTCGGTTACATGCGAATTGGATCACTGATTCTAAAAGAGATATTTACCTTGGAGCATACCATCATTCGTAAGTTATCCCAGCCTCTTCCGGTTTTACACAAGTTTTTTTAATAGATTCTAATCATGTGTATATACGTAAACCACTCGGCAACTATTAGTTATTTGTCCAAAGCGAGAATCTTGTGTGTTGGTTCCTGCTCATTGGGAAGGAAACCTGACATGGAGCTAAAAAATATTGTAAACGAGTAAGTATTTCTTATATTATGTCTAAACATCTTGATTATTCTATTTCTAACCCCCTTCTTTTCAATATATAGTGCTCTAAAGGTTTGTAGTACATTAGGTGGAAAACACACAAGTAAAAGCACGACTCCAAATTGGAATTTTATCAAAGTAAGTAGTCTTTATATATATTATACTATCTATTAATTTATGTTCAAATTTAATAGTTATTTTTAACATATTTAGTCATTTTTAGTGTAACAAACAAAATGGAGGATACGAGTGCGGCTACTATGTAATGTATTGGATGTGGCTCATCATTTTTGGTAGCATTCAGGATAGTTGGAATGAGGTAAGTTGACATTTGCTATTATATTCAATTCCTTTATTTTTATTGCTTAGGGTTTACCATTCTATTATTGTGAACTTCTTACAGGCATTTAAAGATATAGAACCTTTGCCTATGGATACTATAGACATGGTTAGAAACAAATGGGCAGAAAAGTTTGTACAAGTAGTTAGGAATAGGATTGATTGATAATTTTTTGTGTATTTTGTACATAATTTGGCTGATTTTGACATATATATCTATCATTTTATATATTAGTGATTAGCTGAAATAAATATACTGTCTGGACTAAGATTACAGCAGGTCGTGTACTGTTGGTGGCACTAAAACAGACCTACATTTAAAAAAAAAAAGGGATATTCTACGTCGGTTATTGCATTAACCGACGTTGTAACGTCGGTCGCTTGAGCGATACAGAGGTCGCTTGAGCGATACAGAACCCGAGAGTCCCCTTTGTTTGAAGGCTTCGTTGCTCAAGCGAGTACACCAGTCGCTTGAGCGAGAAAGGACTTTCAACGTCGGTTAGTTCAATAACCGACGTAGAATTTACTAATTTCTACGACGGACATTTGGTTAACCGACGTAGATATATATCACTTTCAACGTCGGGTATTCTGAACCGACGTAGAATCCTTTGACATTCAACGACGCCTGAATCAATGACGTCATTGGAACCGACGTTGAATGTCTTCCACACCCGACGTTGAATGATCATTCTGTAGTAGTGCAAGAAAATATTTTTGTCTTTTATATACAAAGGTAAATCAAATTGAAATCACACATATTATTATATTATTAAATTGATTTTAATTTATTGATTTATGACGGACTTAAACCATGATTTAGATTCCAACACTTAACTTTGAAGTCTTGTCGAAATTATATCAATATAGACTAAGCTGAATTCATTTTAACACAACCTTTTTTCCTTTCAAAGCTTAAGGTTCTGGGATTCACTTACCCTTGGATTTGGCTTGACTTTGCGACTCAAATGCCTATTGTATTTGAATCAACATCATAAACTATAACTCAACCCTAATTGAATCTCCAAGTGACCTTTAAAGTTAATCTCATGCTGTGATGATCTAAGCATCTTCTACCGAAAAAAAATCCAAGGATTAATCGAACAACTTGGTAATGTTTTGACTACTAGATTATGTGTGATAACCTGATCTCTAAAATGACTACATACATGTTTCTGGGATAAGGATGATGATAGGGAAAATTAAAAATTATTAGATGATATAAGAAAATTTTATTGTCTTTTATACAGAAAATAAATAAAATTATTCTACTATAAATTACACACACTATACTTTATTCAGAATATTTTTAGCTGTGACACGGGTACGTAGCAGTTGAATGACAACACAATTTAAAATCATAATAATCTTATTACTCGTGGTTTTCCTTGAGATGCCATTCGGTTCTGGCACGAACCAACTCCGTTTTATTTTCTTGAAGACGAAGCAAGTGTATATATTGCAGGTCCCGTTTTCTGCCAACATAGTTATTATTCGAAGCACCAATCACTTTGGATGATGAACTTGTCATTGATTCCAACATTTCTGATTGCGTACATTCACGCCGAAACTCTAAAATTATGCTTCTCAATTTGTATTCTTCTAATATTTCTCTTGGGACGCTCTGCATAAACCAAATCAACATGCCAATTAGTTAACTATGGTTCTTATCAAGCAACTCAGTCATCACCAAAATTCTATAAAATCAAAACAAAATCTAGCTGCCAAGTTTCTGGCTTACTATTTTTGTGTAATAGTTAGTACCTCTAAGATCCATTTGACGTATTTTACATGGTTAACATGCTGGTTAGCATCCATGTCATTCCACCCTGGCTGGATTGCATGCAGAGAAAAAACATTCAAAATACAATGATGAAAATCCAATTATGCTACTCAAATTTTATAGACCTTGAGAAAGAAAGGATCGAATGAAGTTTGTCAATAAAGGGGAAGGGGATTATTACTGAACATAAAAACATTTGTGGATCAAACTTACAGTCACCCCAGAGCGAAATTTGTCAGCAGTGGCATCAGTGAGTTTGTGTATCTTCTGATGATCTATTTCTTCAGTGGCAATGGCAAACCTATTAAAGAAGAGAGGAGCAAGTTCTTGTCTAACTTCTTCAGGAATCTTGGATAATCTTCTTGTTTCTTTATTCATTAACGCCCATGTGCTGCATCAAGGAGATTAATTCCAACATAGAATGTGAAACATTATGTGGTTAATTAGAACTAGTCAATTATGAAAAAAATGAACTATTAACATTGCACCTAGTTGCTTTTGCTATGATCTCTTTAGTATGACGATCCCTGATTATCCAATCTTTTCGGATTCCAATCCTCCCCGCAGTATCAATCCAGGTTTGAACCTCAATTTCATCACCCCTGTAGTATTTATGTTTATGTCTAATCAAGCTATCAATGTATTCCTTTAAAATGTAATCGTATTATAATCAAGTAATTGATACAATTGCTTTTGAAAATAGGATAATTAAGAGGCAAAGGTAGGTACCGTTTGCTATATCTCTGAACTTGAACCTGAATCCGAGTAACGATCCAAATGAGTTTGCGAAGGTCCATCTCGTGAGTAGCTCCAAAATCGTTCTTAGTTTCCCAACAACTAGCGAAATGGTTTATAGAAATTTCCTGAACCATTTTATGTGCAGGCTAGATCATTGAGAATATATATGACATGACAAAATGGAATCATATACAAGTGCAAGCTTATATTAGAATAAAAGCTGTTTATCCAAGATAGAATTTGATTGATAAAAATTTCTGAATTCTTTTTAATTAACATATATAACCTTTAATTTTTGTGGCAGTCTACATGACATTCAACACATTAATTAACATATATAACCTTTAATTACTTTTTTGAGGCAATGATATATAGGATCATGTATAAGAGCACATTTTCGGATCATTATTTTTGTTTTTATATCATTAAAATCTCTCTATGTCTTTTTCTTTTCTCATCGTTTCAATATCAATATTACGTGTAAAAAATTTATTTATTTATTTCTATTTCATTTTTCAAATATATAAACAGATATGTTAATTTGTTATTCTTACATTTTTTTAAGAAAAATATTTGAATAGTATATATTTAATGGTACTTTTGAATGTTTGATAAATAATATATTTTAGTTTTAATATCAAAAATTTTATAAATACTTTTTGTAAGTACAAATATCTAATTATAGTTGAATAATATAACCAGATGAAATCTTTTGTTTTAATATAAAAGCAAGTCAAGTCAAAAGTAGAGTATCAATGAGTTATAACCGTGAGCCAATTTGACTAACCACGAGTTTGAGTTGAATTAAATTTGATTTTTTACATTTTTATCTATAATAGGTTAAAAATGAAACTTACTCACTTAACTCACGGGTTAAGCGAGTTTGAATCAGATTACGGTGGATTGACCCACAATCCACCATTCATTTTAAAAAAATTATAATAATTTAGTAACTCTAATTGATGTTATTTTGTTTCTCCACCTTTACTTCACATTGTCATTACAAGTTAAACACTCACTCAAGTTTGTCATTAATTGTTCGTCGTATCATTGTGTTTACCGTTGTACCTAGGTCATTTGTCATCCTTCTGTTGCACCAGTATGTCACTATATTTGTTGTGTTTGTCAAGTCATCGCGTTTCAGTTGTATCACAATGTTTATCGCATTTCAGTCACATCACAGTGTATGTCATGTTGTCGTGCCACAACTTTGTCACGTCACCGTATTTGTCGCACCATTACATTTGTTGTGTCACACGCCACCGTACTTCAGTTGCACCATAACATTTGTCGCATTTCGAGTATTTTATGTTACCATGTCATTAAGTTCCAATCCCACAATTCAGTCATATTTATTAAAAAATAATAATAACAAAAATATAAATGTGGGTGATTAAATCAATCCACCTAACCTACTAATTTATAATGAGTTGAACTAGATTGTAAAAACTTTTACTTATTATAAAATAAACCTGGTTGAACTTGTATATTTTTTAGCTTAACCCTTGTTAAACCAATATGTGTGAACTATAAGCTAACTCACTTTAACACCCTAGCCAAAATACAATACAACTAAAAGTTTTTTTTTTTTTTTAAGATTGAGAATAAAATTTAATGATATGAGAGTATAGGAATATTGAAATATTTGACTGAAAAACATTTTTTTTAAAAAAACTTAGTTAAATGAAATTATAAAAAAAAATTTACTCGCAAATACATGAATATACATTTAAGATTTTAAACATTACCAATATCGATAAAACTTATATATTATATATGTGGATAAAACATCATCAATCTCGTAATTTTTTCAAGGCAAGGTGTTTTTAATCTTTATATATGCGGTAAAATATATCAACATGCGTATACTTTAATATCGATAAATTTGAAGTTCATATTATAGAAAATATATGGATTTAATCACTATCTTAGAGATACTTTATTTTTATAAATAATTTAGATAATAAAAAGTTTGAGAATCAAATTCATCATCAAGGATAAAAATATACGTTTCCCAAATCTTGTGCATTTGGTGCAAGTTAAATGACATGAAATATACTATACTCTTAGTAAACAATAAACATTGAATGACTACTGTTTTAAATATACTATTTCTTTTTTCAATTTTAACTCTTTAAATGTTTTCTTAACTTTACGTCACTAATTTATATGTATCCGTAAATAAGTTAGTTTATCATTTTGTATGTGTGTATCATTTGATGGTGTTCAGATGAGAAACAAACAATCATATTGATGCATCAGGGTTCATGAAGAAAAACAAAAGGAACAGTTATGGCAATGTCATTGCACCCTAAAAAGAAAACCAAAACTCACAATACACACACATATGTATATGTAAGATGATGCAAGAATTGTTTGTTACCCTAACCTGGAGAAAATACATGAGTGTCTCCATGGTGACAGTTTTATCTGGTCCAATCTGGTAATTTCTGACACAGAAACTTTGCTGATATACAAACCCCTCCTCCACAAAGCTTCCACGAATGATGCGATCAAGTGGTGTATGTTCTGTGCTTTCATTTCCCAATGGAACATGTTTCATTGCATAGTTTGTGTCCACTGCCCTAGGACTACAGTTAGAACTTGCACTCACCAACAACGAAAATCTTCGTTTGTTATCGTTCCATGCATTCGTGTCAACAATTTTCTTCTTGGGGTTGATGCAATTTCCTCTAACTTGTAGCCCCATGTTCATGGGTGGTGCCACCATTGAAATCATAGCTGAATACATCTAGAAAGTTGAAGCAATAATGGAACACGTAAAATTCGTTGTTAGCTTCTATCATGCGCTTAATATACTAAATTGTGTCACATGAGTAATTAGGTGTATACATCCTGTTTTAGGCGAGTACATAAATTTTTTGTTTAATATATGGTAATCATTTAATGTTTATCATTTGTTGAAAAGAAAGACAGGGATATACGTTGAGTATAATTGTTGATTTCATATATTGAAAAGAAAGTTTAATAGATATTTAATGTTGGTAGTTGCTTGTTAAGGTTTATATATTTCAAATAAAGATATTGTGATTGGTGTAAATGTTTTCATCCACTAAATTAGGAGTGTTAAGTGTTCTTAAATAATAATAAATATTCATTTGGAAGTTGCTGATGGTATGGGTTGGAATGTTGACATTTTCAATTTGTCTTAATGGCTATTAAAATGATAATATTGTTTAGATTTAAGGTTTAAAAAATACATTTTAGACGAAAGATATGTATTAAATATATTTGTTATTTTACGTAATTTTAGAAATGTGAATTCATGTACTGACTTTTTAGTTTATTTTATGTGATGATTTTCCTAATTATATAGGATAATATTTTTTTTATAAATAGATTTAGTCTTTCTTATTGTTCAATTAGTAACATATTTTATTATAGTATTATCCGTTTATGAATTTTGGTATAGTCATGATTATATTTTTTTTCTTTTTTTATATTTGTTTTACACGTCATTTTATTAAATAATAATATTAAAAAAAAGTTTCAACACCCTAGTTTTAAAGGTTCTTAAATAATAAAAAAATCATTTTGAAGTTGGAGATGGTAATGTTGATATTCTCGACTTGATGGCTATTAGAATGATAATATTGTTTAGGGTTTAACATGTTTAAAAAATACGTTTTTAGATGAAGAAAATATAATGTATTGTATTCTTTTAAATAAATATATTCATTATTTACGTACTTTTAAAGAAGTGAATTTATGTACTGCTTTTCAATTAATTTTAACATAAAAACTTAACAAAATTTTGTATAATAATCTTCCATTTCTAATTTTATAGGATATAATTTTTGTAGAAATAGGATGAGTCTTTCTTATTATTCAATTAGTAACATATTTTAAAATTTTATTATAGTATTTCTAATTAAAAAAATTATATTTTGATATGCAAAATACATCTATTAGATAATCAGATTTAATAATATAATAATATATTATTATATTATTAATATCAATTGTCAAATAGATTTATCTTATACTTGATTCAAAATATAATTTTTTTATGAATTTTGGTATACTCCTTTTATTATTATATTTTTTATATGTGCTTTACACATATTTTATTAAATAATAATAATAATAATAATAATAATAATAATAATAATATTATTATTATTATTATTATTATTATTATTATGATTATTAAAAAAATTAGTTTTACAAGTCCTACCAAATACATCAAATCAATCTGTGCATTTTTCAAAGCTAAGCATGATTATTGAATCATAAAATTTGTGTATTTTCTTACCAATTTCATGCATTTTCTTTATTTTTTTCTTATCAGGATTATATGTTTTCTTTTCCTGTGAAGCAAGTTTACTTTCTTTTCATTTATTTTAAAAGAATTATTTTTCCATTTATTTACATTCAATCAAATGTTCAGAAGTTTATGTATTAAATAACATTTTATCTTTGTAATCCTTTATACTTTCCCAGTTTAGTGTTTTATTTAGACATCTTCGGCTTTCAAATATAATTTTAAGTTTCGAACTAAACTTTTATTTTCTTAGATTGAAAACAACTTGCTAATGAAAAAGTTTGTTAATTATATGTATCTTTATGTTATATTTATGATAACGAAAATATTATAAGCATTAATATACATATTGATATAGCTTATTTAAATTATAGGTTTTACATAAATGTATAGTATTTTGCTAACTATGTCTTATTATAAATTGAAAATCTAAAACTAATTGCTAATCTATAAATTAACCAAGATGTTAAGCAACTTAATTAATCACTACAATTTATGTTTCAGTGTTTATATTATAAATTATGTATAAATAGAAACATTAATAAACAGAAGAAGAGAAATAAATTATGGACAACGTACAAGAAAGGATTTTGTCATTTTATTGTTCTCCTTGACTTTTGTTTTATAAAAATTATTTGTTTCATATATATATATATATATATATATATATATATATATATATATATATTTGTGTGTGTTAAGTGGTAAAAAGTTGATATAATTATGCTTTGAATTGTTATAAAACCACTTAACTTGTGTTAATTCTAATATATTTTTCTCCCAATATAGGATGAATTCGAGAATACCTTGATATAAGAGTAAGGAGCATAATTGTCAGCATAATTAAAGTAACACTGAAAGAAGGAAGAAGATTTTCAGCATGGAAGTCACTCGAGCGAGATGGACTCTCGCTTGAGCGAATATCAGTTATTCTTCTCTGGAAGTCAGTCGCTCAAGCGCAAGAAAATTCGTTTGAGCGAATATTAGTTATTCTTCTCTGGAGTTCACTCGTTCCAGCGAGCTATTTGTCGCTTGAGCGAAAATAGGAAACTTTCACTTGAGCGAAAGTTGTCGCTTGAGCGAAAGTTGTCGCTTGAGCGAAAGACGCGAGACCCAATTTTTCCTTTAAAAAGATAAGATGTGTTTTGAGAGAAGCAAGCGGTTTTAGGGAAGAGCACTACTAGAAAATATACTTTCAACGTCGCTGTTTAACGTCGGTTATATCTTACCCGACGTTAAATATGCTTTCAACGTCAGTTGTTGACCAACCGACGTTGAAAGTCGAATTCTGACACATTCTACATCGTTTTAGCATGCCCGACGTGGAAAGTAGGATTTCGACGTCGGTTATGCCTTCACCCGACGTTGAAAACCCATCTGCATGGGCTTTCAACGTCGGGTGTGGGTATAACCGACGTTGAAACCCCGTTTTCCCATTTGAATAGGCTACCATTTTGTATCTCCCCTTACTCTCCAGCATCGCGGCCACTCCCCTTACTCTCCAGCATCGCGGCCTCCCTCACTTTGGACTCTCCGGATGCCCTCCCTCACGTCGCCACTGCGCACCGCGTGACACCCCCGCCGCAGCACCTCCACCCCACTGCAACTTCCACCCCAGCACGACGGTAGGCGCCGCACCGTCCACCGCAGACTCCAGCCGCACCGCAGGCTCAACCTCCACCCTACCACAGCCTCCACCTCCACCCCACCCCACCAGAACCTCTACCCCACCGCGACGCTAGTCGCCCACCGCGATGCTAGTCGCCCACCCTCCACCCCCACCGCAGCCTCCACCCACATTGCATTGTCCGCTCACCACGGCGTCGACCCTAACGCCGCACTTGCATCCTCCACCTCCACCCCGGTGCAGCGCTGCTCCGTTTCTCGTGGTGCGCACCTTCATCGCTGCCTTAACCCACAAGTACGATGTTTACTTACTATATTTCATAGGTAGAGATTCTTAGTCATTTGCCGTTAACTCGTTGATTCAATTCTTAGTCATATTATAGTTTTTTTCAATGTATTGATGATGTGTACAATTATACTTGAACTGCTTGAATATGCCCGTGGGGCTTTTTATTGTCAGGTTTCACTATGTCATTTAAAATTGTTGCCAAAAAACAAAGGAAACTCTGCCAGATTTTTGTTAGAAATTAATCATGAAGTGTGAATTCTGAAAACTACATATAACAATGTAGTTATATAAGTGATGGTAGTAACAATGAAAACTCTATAATTTCAATTTATACAAATTTGGTTTTGACCAAAAAATAGACGAAATTCTGTTGAAATTTCGTTACAAATTAATCTACTTTGGTATAGATTTCATTAGAGATAACGATTATTAGTATTAATCGTTTTATGGGTTTCTCATTTGTAGACTCCAATTCCAAAATGGATCGAAGTTGGGTAAATGCAAGTCGTATTTCACAAGAGTATGAGAATGGAGTTGAAGAATTTTTGCGATTTGCCGAACACAATGGCACCAAGGTTAATGGAAAATTGTATTGTCCATGCGTTAAGCTGCGTTAATGGGAGAGTACACACACTAGAGACAATACGGGAACATCTTTTATGTGATGGGATAATGAAGAATTATATCCTATGGACATGGCATGGTGAAGTGATTGATACACCAATAGTAACACAAGTTGAGGAAGAGGAGGATATGACAATGGAAGATCGAATAGAAGACATGATTCGTGATGTAGGTCAAGAGAATTTTCTCGCAAGCACATGCTTGCTTGTCTATGATAAATTGAAGATAGATTTAGAGATACCTCTGTATGCTTGGATGTACAACATTCACGCGATTGTCGACTGTATTGAGATTGGTCAATTTGAAGGCCAAATTTGGTTGGAGTGATAAAAGTTTCACCGAGTTACTAGAAGTTTTGAAAGATATGCTCCCAAGCGATAACACCTTGCCCGATCGTATGTATGAAGCCAAAAAAATACTTTGTCCAATGGGTTTAGAGTATAAAAAGATACATGCTTGCCCTAATGATTGTGTATTATACAGAAAAGAGTTTGAAAGCCTACATGAGTGTCCAAGATGTGGTGTATCGCGTTACAAATTGAAAGACAAGGATGATAATAGCGAATGTATTGATAGAAAGAGACCTCCTGCAAAAGTTATATGGTATCTTCCAATTATTCCAAGATTGAAGCGATTGTTTGCCAATGGAGAAGATGCCAAGAATATGATATGACATTCAACTGCACAAAAATGTGATGGATTGCTTCGTCATCCAGTCGATTCTCCACAGTGGAAGAAAATTGATTGCCTATTTCCAAGTTTTGGCAGTGATGCAAGAAATGTTAGACTTGGACTAGCCACAGACGACATGAATCCTTTTGGTAACTTAACCGAGTAATCACAGCTCATGGCCAGTTCTTTTAGTGATTTACAACCTTCCACAATG